CGGATACGAGTCTGAAAGTGATGTTTACAGCATCATTTCAGAAGATTTGTTTATAGAAGACTTGTCTGAATCTTATTCAGAATCTGAAGAAGAAATAGACTCTGAAGATCAAAGTCTTCAGCAGTTTATAGATTCTCTTGATCAAAAATTAAACACTGTAAAAATCATGATGATCAAGATTGATTCTGACTGCAAACATTCATGGCAATCAAATCAACCCCCACAATGGGAAAAATGTTTAGATTGTCATAGATACACACAGCCTTCTACAAAATTGAAATGTACAATATGCTCCAAAGTATATTGTATATTCTGTCACAAAAAATTAAAAGAAGAGGTTGAACAGGTACAGCCTTCAAAACCTGTAAATCAAATAAACATCCCTGCACCAAATGAAGAACAATTAATCAGAGATGTAGAAAAATTGTCTCTATTGCAAGAAATGAAATCAATGAACAAAACACTCAATGAAAAGGATGAGTACATCTTGCAATTAGAAGAACAAATAGAATTTCTCCACCAAAGAACAAAGGAACTGGAGAACCAATTAGCAAAAATTCCACTCAAAGGAAAAGATGCTAATGAACCAACAGCAGATAAAGAAGAACGAATCTCTACTTTATCAGCTAGTGTTCTGACAAATCCCAAAGATCCAAATACCCTGCTCAGCATACTGTGTTCAATCACCTTCAAAAATGGAGAAATGAAAGAATTCTTAGGAATGATTGATACAGGAGCATCTAAATCTCACATCCTTGAAACAGAAATCCCGAGTTCTCAAATCTCAACAATGAAAGCTGTTTATGGAACTCAAATGGATGGAACTCAACTCAAATATGATAAATGTCTAAAGGATGCAAAAATTTCTTTCTGGGACTGGGGATCAAAAAATTACGGAGAAAAGTACATCTTACCTCAAGTAATTGTACACAATATCCGAAATAATTATCCCTTCATAATTGGCTTAAACTTTATCACTCACTTCCAGGGCCAAATGACAATTTCTTCCGATGGAGTACAGTTTTCAAAACGAACCAGTTACACCCCAACGGATAGATATGTCATGAACCTTCCAAACCCAGAAGAAAAAGCACCCCAAAAAATCCAAAATAAATTAAATAAGCATTTTGAGTATAATAGTAATTATTTGAGTAGTGATGAAAAGTTTTTTGATGATTTATTAGAATCTGATTATACACCAAATCTCTCAGAAGAGACTTTGGAAATATTTGAAGATTCTATAGATTATCAGTTTTTTGATAACTTAGTTAATAGTGAAGAGGTAGTGCATGTAAATATAGAAAAAACTCTTTCAAACTTTCAGAAAGAAGAAAACAAAAGAAAAAATAAAAATTACAAAAAAATGAACTTGGATGAGTTAATCAGAATAGCTGATGAAACTCAAGTCTTAGGGGAAGATCCAATCAAATATTGGGATCGAAATAAATGTACAGCAAATCTAGATATAATAAATCCTGAACTTAGAATTACTTGTGGCAAGATGGATCACAGTCCACTTGACAGGCAAGAATTTGAGGTTCAAGTAAAAGAACTTTTAGCCTTAAGAGTCATAAAGCATTCCAGTTCTAGACATTCCTCTGCAGCATTCATGGTAAGAAATCATGCAGAAATCAAACGAGGAAAGGCTAGGATGGTCATAAATTATAAAAGGCTAAATGATAACACTTATGAAGATGCATACAGAATACCAGATAAAGACCAACTAATCAACTGCATTCAAAATTCAAAA